CCCGATGTGGACGCCACCGATGGTGAGGAAGAGGCTGTCGTTTTGGTATCACTTGTCTTGAGCTGAGGACCGGCATCGGTCTCCACTTCCGTTGCCTTTCGTTTGCGGCTCTTTTTCGAGTCCTTAGTCTTAGCTCTTCGCTCATTCATACGACTCTCCAGTTGTTTCACTTCATCGTCGGTACCGTTGATGACAATCACGTCGTCCGCCGAATACTCTTTGTTACACTTATGGCAAGTGTCGGACTTCACCTCTCGGAGGGCCCTCTCAGACATCACACAACCGCACGAACGGATGTAACAGAACTTGTATTTGCCTTCAATAAGAGCAATAAATTATGACAATTAATCCATTAATTAACCATTACTTGGATGTAAACAATACATTAAAAATAGATAATAAATCAAACAAACCGTTCATTTCAATGCCGACGACCGGACAGACAAACTTCGAGTCCTGAGTGTCTATGTATTGGCCGTCGATTTCGGGCTTCTTGTCGTTGTAGTCGGTCTTAACGGTCAAATTGAGTGGCTTTACGTCTTTAAGCGATCGGATGTGTTGACAGAGGGAGGCGTTGGGCGTCGATGTCTTGTCCAACAGGTACTCAATGACCGCCACTTTGTTGTAGAGTCGGCCCAATTCGCACGACACCATCGGCTCCACGAGTTTGGCCGTACTTATGGCACAGTAATGCCATTTCGCCACCAATTCTACCGTACGGTCCGTCTGTTCCCGACGCTGTTTAGTGCGGACCAACTCATCCCTCTTCGGTATAGTCCCGCCGTCGCATCCCATGATCTCCCGATTGGATCTAATGGTCAGATCGTAGGCAACAACACATCAAATGTTAAAATCAATCAAAATCGCTGTCATTATTGCGCGAAAAGCAAACTTACAGTACGTTATGGTATGAAAGCGAGACACAGATTAAACTCTATATTAATTGTGATTATAATTAATGCCACAATTAATGGACCGAAAAATATAAACAAAATCTCTGAATGAGTCAAAAGTTGGCACAAAATGTCAACACAAAAGTGAACGCCATTTGTGTGGCATTGACTGCGAGTGAGAGAGAGTGTGAGAGAGTGCGAGAGTGTGTGCAATGAGTGAACGGTCCCCACAATGGGTGACGCAATGACACGTCTGCGGCCACACCTCCAGAGGGTTGGCCTCAAAGCAGAGTTTGTTTGTCACGTGTTTGTCATTTAGTGGCAGATCTTTAAACGCCGTATGAAATTGACTGCACTTTTCAAACACAACACTAAACTTAACACACATTTTGGTCCAACAATTTGAATACATTTCTCTCTCTCACTATTAATACCAATGAATTGATTTGTTTTCAATGTTTTTCACGAGTTTTTAATCTCGTATTTAAAGTCCAATTGGTTTTTAAAAACCCATTAAAATGCTATTATCGGAGAGAAAAAGAGTCCATTAAATACTTTTTCCGATTAAATATATGTTAGATATTTGAGTGAATGATAGCATCTAATCAATGACTCCCTTATTCCCAATGAAATACATATTTTTATATTTATTTGTCTCTCATTTTGATGCATAAATCATATAATTTTTATCATCGTTTGTATTAAAAATATATGTGATTGCAATGAGTGACTGAAAAAGTGTTTATAAACGTGGAGTAATACTGTATATACCGGAAAATAGTGGGGAGAAAAATGTATTCAAATTGTTGGACCAAAATGTGTGTTAAGTTTAGTGTTGTGTTTGAAAAGTGCAGTCAATTTCATACGGCGTTTAAAGATCTGC